ATGATGGAATGTGAACACAGACTTGGCAAAGCGGGGGTAGGGTGAGCAAAAGAGTTGGAGGAGACACACTCTGGTTCTATTTGTGATTACTTCTGGGCAAGTGGCTTTGCCTCTTTGAACCTCAACTTTTCATCTCTTCATTAGGAATAATAACATCATCTATCACGTGTGTCCCTGTGGGTTTGGGAGGATTCATTCAAAAGTACTCTTGAAAGCATATTATAAATTGTGACATGCCACAAAAATGTTCATTTAATTCACCTGCACAATTCATGCAGCAGGTCAAGGCCAGGGCCAGATTGCCTTATTCCTGGAGTCCTTCCCAGCAGGCTGTGCTTTCCTCCTGAGTCCCCTCTGAGCCTCCCTGAGTGTTGCTACCATAGCTTTAAACACCCACCATTGAGAGTGCAGTCCAGCTCCAAAAGCTGTGCCCCCCCTTTCTCCTATCACCCACAGGGGCAGTGGGATTGTGCAGAGAAACAGAACTCATAATTCAAACAGCCATTTTTGCCTTGCCTGACTCCTTGACCTCATTTCTGCTATTGGCAAAAAGAACAAGAAGGGAGGTTGAAAGAGACCTGATAAAAACGGATCCTCCTGTGTTAGGAACAGTGCCACCAGTTCTGGGCTAAGAAGCAGAGGGAGGAGCCTTAAAGCCACTCAGCACCCAGCACCCAGATTGCAAAATAGGTGACTTGTGACTCACATTATTAACCGCACTTTACTCAAAGACAAAGCAGTAACCATGTGAATATTTTACTAGCATTTTCCCATTTGCCATGAGTGATTTTTCTAAAGTCTGTCTAATTTTAGACCCGTGTGGAAAATGTCATCTGGTTTCCAGTTAGGTTATCTCCTTGGTCCATGAGCACCCTCGGTCCAGGATGAGGACCAGTGGCCGGACAAGTACCCTGTGGCTTTCTCTGCTCGGAGGCAAACTCTACTTTGGGCTTTTCCATCTGGTCGTGAAGTTCTAGAGGGGTCCTTGCAGCCCTGAGTCCAAGTCCCTATGAAATGTTGACCCAGAGGAAAGTTGATCCAGGAAAGTGGACCCAGGTAGGGTTGGGCCTGGAGTAATCTGTTCAGCTTACTCTGAAGTGTCTTGTTTCCTTCCTCCCTATGTCTCTACCCCCTTTTCTAAGAATCATCTGCTTCAGAACAATTCAGAAGTCTCTGTGGAGCTGAGCAGGCAATAATGAGGTGAACACTCTCTCTCTGTGTGGCCACAGGGATTGGTGGGAGTCAAGGCCTGAGAGGTGGGGTCTCAAATTTGACTGTGGACTTCTGACATGCTGGGAAGAATCCCATGACCCTCTATCAGACATGTGTGCCCTGCCCCTTTCTTAGTCATAAACATGAGGCAGGAAACAATGAGACTGAATTTGAGACCCCTGGATGTAGATCATTCCTTAGCTCGTTGTCCAAAGAATTACATTAGGGATTCACAAATTCCTCAGGTTCATAATTCTATCTTTTGTCAAAAGGAGCCCCAACCAACATTTGAAGGAGAGAGATAATACATTGAGTTGCTTCTGTGCCTGTCAGTATCTGGCATTTTCCTACTATCTTAGATTTGTCATACATCAGGTATCTGTTTCTGCACAACAGTCCACCCCCAAACTTAGTAACCTAAAACCATGATCATGCATTTGCCTATAACTGTAATTTGGACCAGGCTCAATGGGGCAGCACCTTGGCAGGTTGATCTGGGTTTATGTATGTAGTTGACAGAAGAGGGGATGGGGAGCAGGGCAAATGCTGACTAGGGGACTGACTAGTGCAGCTGGCCTAGTGGAGATGGCTAGAACTACTGGGATGATCAGGATTCTTTCTCCATGTGGTTGCTCAACCTTAAGAGACCAGCCTGGGAATCCTACACAGGCGTCTCAGGAAGGTGAGAGTAGACACTCAAGGCCTAAGGTCATTTCTGACTCATCCCAGTGAACAAAACAAGTCACAGGGTCAGTCCAGATTCAAGAGAGTGGGGAGTCAAAGAGACTCCACTTGGTGGGGCTGACAAATTCACTTTGCAAAGAAGCATGCTCCTAGACATGGAAAAAATTACCAGGGACATCCTTATAATCTAGCACAGTCATCGAAGCTGCACCCTTATTGATAAATATTCCTCTCACCCTTAATGAACGGCCTGATCTTTTGTGGAGGGGCAAATGGGTACCCCAGAAAGCTGGTGATCAGGGAGAATTAATGGCTTGTCTGCTTTCACTCAAGTGTAAGGTATGGAACTGGGGGTGTCTTCATCTGTAAAATGGGATCATAAAATGACTAGTGTGGTAGGGAGGATGGAATGAGAAACTGCATGTGGAAGGGTCTGGTAATTTGTGCACTGCACAAATGTTAGTTGCAGTTCATCAAGCCAGGCAGACTTCTTTGGGGGAAAGGGACGGGGTTGTCTAGGAAGGCGCCAGAGCATCTGAGCCAGACGCCAACTGTTGTGTGTCTCTCAGCTGCTATTTGCTTTGGCTTCAGACCAAATCCTTCACCCAGTGCCTTTGGCAGTGATGGACAAGAAAAAAAACCCTGTGGGCCAGGTGGCAAGCCAGGGCACGCTACAGGTGAGGACACAGGCTTCCCACGGGCGCGCTTCCTTTGGAGAAAAGGACACGAGCCATTGTTCTTTACTGCCTGGGCAGTAGGTCTGAGTGGAGGAATTGAGTGTTTTTAAATGGACTCAAGGTCGCATACATACATATCCTTGAATTGTTCTGAGCTCACTTTTTCTCATTTAATCTCACCCCAATTTTTTCCACCTTAATTCAACTTCATCCCATTTGAAAGGACTCTTCCATATCTTCTACCTAAATAAGTGTTCCCTCCACTTGCTTGTCCTGATATCTGGACCAAATTCCCTGAGAGGCCACATTCTCTGAGCTCAGGGGCAGGGACAGCCTCTCTGGTCTTTTTGTTTTATATCTGTCTTCCTTCCATAGGCAAAATCTCTGACTCTTTTGAGCATCTTGCTGCACCATGTTCTCTGCCCTGCTTGGTTGCTGTCACCCACCAACCTCTCATCAGTTATAACTGTCTTTCTTTAAGAATTTCGTATCTCACTGACATCCTACCTGCCATCACTAAGGACAACTTCAGCACTCATTCAACATCCTAGACTCTGAGATTTTAACTTTTTCATCCCTGCCCTTCATCCATACTCCGTGACAACTGCATACAAAATTCAACACCTCACAAGGGAAAGAAAAATTAGATCTATACTGTGCAGATGAAGGTGGCAGAGTTGGGCCCTTGGGGTGATATGTAAAGGGGCAGGGAAGTTTCAGTGATCGATCAGGGAGTGCCACCTAGCAGAGCTGCTCCGTGCTGAGAGAGTCTGTTTTGCAAGCTGATTGCAGAAAAATTTGTGAAAAACAAAAACCAAAGCAAAATACCTGATGCTGATGGCAAAAGAAAAATCAGTTGGAGTCACAAAATTTGGTTTCGAGTTTTCCATGTTCTTCAATAACAGAGACTAGCAGATTTACTATATGGCTTACTAGTGAATACTTTTTACATAGTCATACAAATGTAAACACTGAATTTTGATCTAACCAAAATTATAATATAACTGCAATGGGAGGATGGCAGAACTCTGTGTGTGTGTGTTTTATATGTGTGTGTAGGGGAGGTGAAAAAGAACAAAATTCTATTTTCCATAGTAATAAGTCAACAGATAATACCTAAAAATGAGAAATCAAGAAGTGGCAATACAAGTGTGTTATTTAAAGTTCAATATGGAGTCAGTTATTTGAGTGGAAAACCATTGTCTCTGGGGAAAGAAAAGATGGGAGAATTGATCATTTTTGTAAAAAATCTGATAAAATAGTTTGATTTAATAAAACATAAAGCTTATAACTTTGATGAGAAAAAATTATGAAATAGTATAGATAGGTCTCTCTGCTACCCACTTATAAAGCTGTTTATGCCCTGGGGTGAGAGTGAGTACAGAAACATAGGACTATTTCCTCCCCCACCCACCTCCCCAAGCCTCAGTTCTCACCTGCCTCTCATATTGGCATTTTCAAAGCTAATATTAGCACTTGATTTCACTCTACAGGTTGATTTTGAACCTAATGATTGCTTAAGGTGTGTCTCCTTTTATGAGGAGTTTCCTGGCTTCAGTTAGATGTTATTCTGTATGGCTTTTCCAGTTACATCTAATTCCTAGACAGTACATAAAAATATACTAAATTAACTAGAGTTACTCAGACACATACCCAAAAGCCCATGTAGTTGATGAATCATTGAAGTGGCTGAATATAATGTAGCATAGATAATGTAGCACACAAAGTCACCGCTGAAAGAATAGACATTTTCAATGACCAGTATGGAGGCTTTACATAATAACAGAACTTCTCTGTCTGCTTTCTAGCTGATATGTCTCATATTAAGGAGAAGGGTTCCAGCAGTCTGTGAGAATGCCAATTTGCAAGCAGCAAGTGGATCCATAATGGGACTCAGGTTGTTTGGTTTTCTTGGCAACATCTTTCACTCAATTTCCACCAGTCTCACTGTTGGCTACCGGGGGGCCCACCAGGAGCCACATGAGAGCAGTCTCCCTGACAAGGCAGAAGCCAATAGGAGATGAGGGAATATGAGACTTGAAGCAGTAGTTGATTCTTTGGCAAAACAAATGGCTTCTGATAACCTCATTCCAGGCTTTAACATATCTTGTGCCAAAAATGCCAAATGCCAAGTGGAAGAAAAGCACTAGACTTCTCAAGGGCTCCATTTGAGAGCCCTCACGCACCCCATTCAAACTTGATTGCTCTCATTATCACCTCCCAACAAGGTCAGGGCCCCTCCTCAGCCCCAGAGAAGCACTCAGGTTTCCTTCGGGCTGTTTTTCGAAGCTTGAAAAGACTGGTCAGAGAGCCCTGTGTGGGCGCTGACTGAGAATACCCCATTCTCCAGTCTAGCCACCTCCGTGGGATGGCATTTTTGCATGACCAATGCAAGGATCCAGAACGCTATTTGAAATAGGCTTTATTGTTTGATGACAAGTGACTTTCTTTGGGGTGGGGAGGACCCTTTTCATACGGCCACAGTTTTCGGGAGACACTATCCATTCAAGTTAATAAAATAAATCTGAGGAGGTATTGTGTGGCTGTGTCAGTTGAGATCCTCTGGGAAGCAGACCGACATGGAGAATGGCATAAGAGATTTATTAGAAAGTGAAGTCTGCAAAAGATAAAGGAGGAGAAGGCTGTATTGGCAAGGAAAGTCTTCAGTCTGTGAGAAAGAATTTGCTGTTGTTTTTCAATTGTATTACTTTTTATTGAGGTAACATTGGTTTACAATACCATATATGTATGATTTAGGGGTGGAAGTTCCACCTCTTCAGATATATGTTACCACACCCATCATCAAAGCACTTCTTCCGCTCTAGTCTACTGGACACTCTCCCCACTTTGCTCTACACCCCCTCCACCCCAGCCTCCCCTTATGGTAACAGGCAAAACTGAGCAAAAACAAACCCTGTGAGACATATTTGATACCTGAGATGAAAGGGGTGGGCAGGGAGGAAGCAAAATTGGTCAAGGAAAGATTCAGGCCAAGCCAATGGAAACTTCAAAACAAAGACTTGTGCATTAGAGGAGTTTCATATTGGACAGCGATGGCCATGTCTTAGTGACCCCCCTCCCAGGGACTCAGTCATTGCCTGGGGCTCCAGCACAGCATGAAATCAGCTCCAGTGATGTGGGTAGATTCTGAAGGCCTTGCAGATGGAGGCTGCCTACTAATCGCACTTCACACAGATGAATGTCAAATTCTTTCTTGAAGGAAGTTGTGAGCAGCGTGGCTGTCACAGTACTGGAAAACCATAACACAATAAAATGCCAATCCAACCTGAATTCACGCATTAAGCTAAGATTTAATGGATGTAGAAAGATTATTGCGAAACACCCCCTATAAAGAAAAGACTACACTGAACTTATTGAAATGGGGATGCTTTGACTTCCTATCCAGTTTTATCATAAAGCCATCAATTCATTATTTTTTTACACATCAACAACACGTTACTGATGTTCTACTGTAAGCCTGGAACTATGCTTGCTTTCTATACATGCAGAATTGACAGTCAGGCATCAAATAATTAAAACAACTATGATAAGGACTAATGGAAAAGCATGTGAAATACTGCAGAAGCTCAGAGGAAAGGCAAAAACAGGTGATGATTTAGGCACTTGTTTTACCTTTGGTCGGTATCTGGCCCATCAACTTCATCGCACACTAACTCTAGCATGTGCTGCTCAGGTGTGCTTCCAAAATGGATTTGAATCTTTTAGTGGAGTGATTATTAACTCTCCTAGAACAGAGTACCCTGTTGAAAGAAAAGTCTAGGTCTCAGTAATAACCCTCAACTCCAGCTAGACACAGATTTGCTGATTTTATCCGTGCAAACGGAGGGCTCATGAGCTTCGACAATTTTGTGACCTAATGAGGGTAGGAGGCCACGTTTTCTCATTGGAATTCCTTTTTTTTTTTTTCTCTTTCCTTTTTGATCACATAGACCTGATGCTCAGGAGTATAAAAAGTGATGAGAGTTTATATGTCCAACCAACCCTTTATAACCATTGTTCTAGAGTAAGGGTGTATGATAAATATTGGGGGAATGGAATGATAGATAAAATATGGCCCTTGTTCTTAAAAGTCAGATAGATAGTTCTAGGTACTAGGTCTTGGAAAACCCACTAGTTTGCATGGGGCATTCATCAGTTCTAGAACCTTCTCTGATTGATCTGATCACATGACTGCCCGCCATCTGGATCTGCGTCTTGCATGGGCCTCGAATTAGGTAGGCCCTGAGCCCTGCCACACTCAGGCTGCCTAGCTGTCAGTCAACAACTCTGTTACTCCTGTTGTGTCACCGACTTCACACTGCAGGCCCTAGGCACTGGCTGAAGCCATCCACCCACCCGACCTCTGAGCTGAATCCTCCACCATCCTGATAGGCATAGACCAGGATCAAAGTTAGTCTTTGTGTAATCCACATTGATGTGTAATTATCTGCACTAGTTCAGGAATCAGCATCATTCTGTGAAGACCAGTCATGCATGTCTTGAGATATTTTCATAGCAACAAGGAAACCAACCCCACACGAATTGATACAAAACCAACTATGTGCAGAATGGCTTACTTATATCTTAATGCAGAAAAGATAGACAAAAATGTATCATATTTTACTCCCAACATTACCCTTTGTTTGCCTCTTCTGGAGCTGGGGCCGGGGCGGGGGGATGAGGGGGGTAGTAGAAGTAACAGGATCTCTTATTTTTGTTTTGTTTCGCTCTTGGTGTTATTTAATCCCTTGCCTTTATATTTTAGCTACATATCACCCCATTGATAAAAGATGCTCTATTATAAGCCACATGTGTCATCAAAAATAAACTTCACATTCTTCTAATTTTGCCCCCTGACAGGTTGAGGGAAATAGTTTTGTTTTCACAATGAAGTCATAGACATAAATCACCCAGGAGTAAGACCTTGGAAGCAGCAATCCAGCATACTCCTTCAGTTTCACTTGGAGCCCCATGGAGAAGGAAAGGAGAGATTAAGAGAAAGATTCTTTCTAGAAAGCTCAAACTCTAGAGGAAAGCAGTGCATTCAGCAGCCCCAGCTTAATGCTGACCAACCCATTGGGATTGTTGATTTCAGGTCCAAACCGAGCGTGCATCTAAACTACAATGCAAACCTGTTAGCTTTCTTCTGTTATTCTCTTTATAATTCCATCACTACACTCCCTTTGCCTCCCCTTCCCCGGGCTCTCCTGCTTAATTTGTTTGTTTTTAGCCTACAGTTCATAGTAAGGGGACTTATAGTGCTTGAGTTAGAAAATACAAGACTCAAACCCCTTCTTTCTTTGCTTTCCAATTGTATACCTTGGGTGTCATCTCTCTGCCTATTTCCACAGTTATAATTGAGGAGTCACTACTTCATAGCGTTGTTGGGGGAGCCAATGATATGCCATATCTAAAAGTGTCTGGCACAGAAGTTCTTTATAAAATCCATCAGTCTCTGCACCCCTACCACCCCCCACAATGCTCCTCTGAGCCAGGGCTCACCACGGGCAGGTCCACTCAAGGGGCTCACCTCCTGCGAGGTGGGACAGTGAGTTCTCGATCAGAGGCAGCTGCAGATGAAACCATTGAGCCTCACTGCAGCATTGCCTCGTCTGCTCCCAGTAGAACCCAAGTGAGGGTTTCTGCAGGAGTGAAGGAATCCAGTCATCCATTTGCCTTCCATTTCTCCTTTTCCAGTATTAGAAGGGCCTTACCTCCCAGAAGAATCAAAATAGACAACCAGTTTACAAGCGGGAGTAAGGCTGTTAAAATATTTTCCTTTAGTCTGGCAAATATTGTCCATTGAAGCACCAGTCCTTCTAGCCTATCTCTTGCCTGTCCTGTCTCCCTCCACGCCCATGCCTCCTGCCTGCCTGCCAACATCACTGTTGCCAGAAATAAGCACTTTGCAAATGGCCTAAAAGGTGATTAAATGAGATGAACAGGTTGCATCACAAGATTTAACACTGGAACCCCAACGCCTCTCTCTCTCAGGATGAATCACGTGCAGACTCCTCATCCTGATTTCAAGGGCTTCCCCGCTGGGCCCCATCTGGCTTTCTAGTCTCAGCTCTTGCTGTGGCTCAGTATGAATCTGAGTCCCAAGCAGATAGGTCTTTCCTGAGTTCCACCTATGTCCTGACTCTCTGCCCCAGCCCTTTTGAACCTCTCCCTTTCTCCTTTCTACATCCAGTTCTCACCCCTGCTTGAAGGGCCACTGCCAGCCTTGCACGCCTTCAATCCCTTCCCCAATGGTGAGCAGCATGCATGAGCTTTCAGTTCGGAGTCTGAGTCTTGAGTCCCCTCCCTGCTATTTATTAGTTGTGAAACTTTGAGCAACTCATCCACATTCTGCCTCAGTTTCACATCTGTAAAATGGGAATAACACCACCATGTTGTTGGAGGAATTAAATAAGATGGAATGTAGGCAGCACATTGTCATCCTCCTGTAGTGCCTCCCACCTCTCCCACGTATTGTCAGGTAGCAGAAGGGCTGCACAATGTGACCATATTATATTTAGTTCATACCAGCCACAGAGATTAAGTTTGTAAAATCTTTTATGATGGAAGAATTTCTAATTGAGAAACACGTGACCTTATGAGAAAAATACAATTGGGAAACGGAGGTCACAAAATGTGAATCTATAAAATTTAGTATAAGTAAGTTGACATTTATTAAAATAAGTCAGCAAAGGCAGAGCATTATGCACAGAGGCCTTAGTAATATTTTATGCCTAGCAAATTAATGAGAATTTATTACCATTTATCATTTCCTTGCTCACCAGCAACTTTCCTGGAGTCCTTCACTATACACAGTTAAAATGATGTTTATGTATCGCTTGTTTTGGAACAGCCAATGCTGACACCATGAGGCAAGCTGTCTGTCTCTTCCTCCACCACACAATGTATTTTTTAAAAGCAATGCACAGACGCAATACCATCCACTAGTTTTTGATTTGGTGACTTAGAGCTTTTGGCTCTTGCTGCCAAGGTTCTGCCTTGTAACCCTGCTCCCCTATCCCCTCACCCATCTTATACCATCTCAGCTCTTCTAAGAAACTGACCCTGTGCCAGCCAGCTGACCAAGGGTCATAAGAGACCCTCCTTTCTTTCCGTCCTTCTTTCTCTGCTTCTCCAACCCACGGGTACCTGAATTTAGAGGAGTTAAGACCATTTTCACTGAAGGCCTTCTGCCATATCTCTCTCAAAGCTGTGCTCACCAAGGAGAGGTGGTCAGGTGTGGCCTGGTCCAGCTCTTTCTTTTGCACAGAAGTTGCGCCCTTTATTTCCCGGGCCTTCCAGGGGTGCCTTCAGGGGTGTGCCCTCTCTTCTTAATTCTTTTTCTTCCCTTCCTCAGACCTCTACTTCTGACTCTATGCCCTCACAATGCCTCCACTTTCCCCATTTTCTTCTGGAAGCCCCTGCCCCCAACAGGAATCATTTGGCACCAGGCCCTGGGTCACCTGTGGGGCTGGGCAGCTTGGGCTCTGCAGACTTTCCCCGATTGCCTCTGGCTTTCCTCTCCAGTGATTGCAGGCTCCTGGGAAGGAAGGAAAGACAGTGGTTCTGATTACGCCAGTAGGAAAGGTGAGGGGGCTTCTGCTTCCTACTCAGATTTCTCCTCCCAAATTTCTGAAATGAAACACACCTCACTGTGGGGATTTGTTTCTCTGCAGAGACTCTCAGTTGGGCTCCACTTATAGTCTTTTAAGTAACATAATGTGACTTTTTCATGAGAACTTCAAGCCCTGTCTTTATCCGCCATTATAAAGCATTTTTATATTAGGCAAATATACAAAGTGCAATTCTAAAATTGCTTCTCCCCAAACATTAACTTCTTTTCCTCACAATTACAGAGGGTTTTTTTTTTTTTTTTTTTTTTGTAATGAAAAAGTTTCTCCTTTCCCAGACTACTTTGTTCACCACCTGTGGGTTCCAGGAGAGAGGTGAATGGAAAACCCTGGCAAATGTGCTACTCAGGGAACCGCTGCCCTTCTCCTCAACCCATCCTGATGAACATTACCAAGCTTCTCTCTTCCTCAAAACAGGACTTCAAAATGGCCTCATGTTCCCACCTCCCCCAAAGAAGGGAGTGCAAGGAAATATGCTGACGTCACAAGTGAGAGTAAGATTGCTTCTCACAGAGATGATACCTTGGGGTGGGCAGAGGCTCAAGGTGGCCTTTCTTCAGGACATCCCACCCAAGTGTGGGGTTCTGGTCTATGGCTGAAGGACTATGATTTGAGTTGGAGATGATGCTTATAAGAGGACAAATCTATGATATTTATCATTTAAATTTAGAGGAGAGATTTTGAAGGAATAACTAGTCATTAAAATATTGTTCCAGACACCAAACAAATGGAAGTGAATGGTTCTGTTAGGAAGGGAGGCTTCATTTCCTGGAGAATGGGGAAGTTAATTAAGAAAGTAAGAGTGTTTACTTTGTAGGACAATTAGCAGAGGTGGTCATATTGTCCTTGTCACTGAATATTTTCCTGATATAAAAATACTCTCTTGGCACTTATGGAGAAATTTGATTTTTATTATTAGACAGTCACTGCAAAATAAAAGCCTGTACGTGTGTGTGTGTGTGTGTGTGTGTGTGTGTGTGTGTGTGTATTCCCAATCAAAAGTCAGAAGTCAGAAGCAAGGACTGTTACCTAATACACAAGGATTCAGTGGATGAATGGATGGATGGATGGACGGATGGATGGATGGATGGATGGATGGATGGATGGATGGATAAATGGGAAGAAGCATGGATGACCAGTCATGACTGGAGCGTCTAAGATCTTTGGCTCTGAATCCAGACACAATAAGAAGTAGATCCACTAGGACTGGAGAAGTAACATTTGCAAGATGCAGTTGGAGCCACTTTTGTGCTTCTGTCTGTTGCATGTGTTTGCTTTCTCCTGAGCCCTCTTGGGGCAATGCCATCTTTGACTTATGTTTGTGACGATGTGGAAGGCAGCGTTCCCTTCCCTTTCACACAGTAACTGAGGAACACATGGCCTGTTTGCTTCCTTCTCTACTTCTCTGCATCAGTTTTATCAGGATATTCATTGTAAATGCTCACATGGGCCAATTCCGTGTCATTGCTCCACAAGAGCTCCTAGACTGTTTTCTAGAAAGATTTAGCTGATGTCAATATGAATTAAAGGAATCCAGCCAGCCTCTCAATTTTCAAGTAGTTTGTGTGTCGCAGAGTTGCCCGCACAGTCTCTCTGGCCCTCTGGCTCTAATTTCCTCTGACCCAGCCTCCCTTCCCCATCTTTCTTCATTAATCTCTGCTTCTTCAAGTATTTTCCCACATTTACTCCTTATTCACATATTTCTTAAATCCCTACAAGTTCTTTATTCAAAAAGAGCACCTCCTCAGTAGGGCACATGTATGTACTCCTTAGGTTGGAAAATAAACTAAACAAATCCTGGACGATTTTGAGCACAGGTAAGAGGATTATGTTACCCACTCACTTCTTTTTGCTCCTTTTTTTATCAAAGCAATTAGCAAGTAAGGTTTGAATGATCATCAACAACCAGCTAATAAGACAACACATATATTCATCTTTCACAGTTTTAATGAGGGGAAGTTCCATGAACAGAACAGAATGGAAAATAGTCTCTTTTTGAGCTTGATTTTTCTTTTTAAAGATTGAGAGTTTCTTTCTTAGACTTAACTGCATGGAAGATATCAAATAATTAACCCATAAGTCTATAACCACTCAATATAACTTCAAATAAAATCATAATGGAAAAAACCAAACACCACAAACTACAATAAGCAGGTGACTAACCTGAATGAGGTCTGCAGAGATGAAGAGTAAAAGTGTAATGCACAGGGGTCAACTGGGGATTAAGGCAAAATGCTAGAAAAGTCAAAATAACAACCAGAACAGGCTCTGTTGAATCTTTCAGAGGCTCTTTTCTAAGTTAAACATTTTTGAAATACATTCAATTGGGAAATAAAAATATCCCAGGGCTGAAAAAAACTGTGTCTTTGGGAAGTTTATCCTCCTCTACAATATACAGATTCTGGGGGATGCATTTGGCGCCTTGGCCAAGAAAAATGGCACCACCAATAGCTACATTCACCTGGGACATCAGTGGGGTGACAGCCTCTTCATTCCGGTTCTCAAAGACTCCATCGGCATCATGGGACAAGACTGCCTTGCCAGTGTTCCTCTTGGGCACATCAAAGGGATTTAGACATAGGTTGAGAAGAGAAAAAACCTCAGCCAAATCTATGGGGACTGTGGATTGTTTTTTCCTGACTTGTTCTTAATTTCTAAGCTGAGAATAGCATTAAGATCCTGTAATAGTCTTTTTTTCTGCTCTGGCAAAATGCAGCGCTCTTACCTGCCTGTGTCTATGCAGATACCTCTCTTTTTCTTTCTCCTTTTCCTAAAAAAAAAAAAACCTGTCTTTTTTAAATGTAAAAAAAGGCAAAAAGATCCTACAGTAGACATTCTTCATTTGTGTTCATCTAATGACTCTGAGCTCCTCACCTTTTTTGCTTGCTCTTCTTTTTTTTTTGGCAGCAGCTTTATTAAGATTTGGTTCACATACATAAAATTCATTCAAAGGCTATGATGCAATGACTTTTTAATGTATGCACAGAATTTTGCAATCATTACCACCACAATCAATTTTAGATCATTTTTATCATCCCAGAAATAGAATTCACACCCCTTGACCATTATCCTCTAATTCTACCACTACCTTCTAGAACAAAACAAACATTAGCCTATTACTTTTCTGTCTCTATAATAGATTTACCTACTGTATACTGTTATGGACTGAACCATACTGCTCCACTCCACATCCCCCCTGCCAAAATCATATATTGAAGTCCTAACTCTCAGTACCTCAGGATGAGGTACATTCTTTGAAAAGGTAATTAAGTTAAAATGAACTCTCGAGGGTGAGCTCTAATCTACCATGGCTGGTGTTCTCCAAACAAGAAAAGATGAGGAAATACCACAGGAAGACTCAGGGTGAAGATGGCTGTCTACAAGCCAATGAGAGTCTTCATTAGGAAACCAACGCCACTGACATCTTGAACTTGGACTTCTAGCCTCCAGCACTGTGAGAAAATTAATTTCTATTATTGATATTTAATCCACCACTCTATGGAAACGCTAACAAACTAGTACATGAACATTTCACATTAATGAAATCATACCATATGTGGTCCCATATGACAGGTTCCTTCACCTACCACAAAGCTGTCAATCTTATCTATGTTGTAGCATGTAGCATTTCATTCCTTTTAATGGTCAAATAGTACTCTAATATATAGATACACAATGTCCTCTTTACTTTTTGTTAATATATTGTAAGTTCCATTTTCCTGGAGTAGAGACTAGAAACCGTGCAGATCCAGGCTCCTTTTGGGCTACAATAACGTAGATTCTACCAGTCCAGTCACCCATGAGAATCTGATTTGGAGGAATTGGCTTCATGGAGAGGAATTGGTGTGATGATAGAATAGTCTGGACCCAGGACCAGCAGTGACAGTGCTGCTGACATTTAAGGCAGTTTTGCTCAGGAAGCCCCATGCTGTGACCGACATTGTTTTCAATTGTCTCAGAGCCTACTCTCCGACCTTTCTGGAGTGTCTGTGATCTAGGTGACATTCTTGAATAAACTCCTTTCCAGATTAAATAAACCAGAATGGATTCTATTGATGGCAACTCAGTATCCTGAACAACCTTTTCAGAATAAGGGAATTCTAGGATTCCAGGAACTATAGACTCTGTGCCTTCAGCAAAAGTAAAGTGCTTTTCATCTTTTCGAAAATGCCATGATTATCAAATAGGTTCTATTTTCTAATGCTGGAATTAAGAATGAGAGTCCCTGCCTGTTTCAGGGCCCCGTGTAGATCCCTCAGCCAGGTCGACATGAAAAATGCTAAGAGAGTTCTGAGTTAACTTAGGATATCTCAAAAACTTATTCCAACCCAACTATACCTTCCCAAAGTCACCGAATAGTTTCCCAACACTGTTTTGAATTGATTAATTAGATCTTATATAAGAAAAACCACATTACTGAATGATGACAAGCTCAAAAAAGCAAGCTATTAAGGAAATTAAGAGTTGATTGTTGTTGTTGTTGTTGTTTTGGTAAACTTGCAGCCTACCAATGCTCATTCCAAACCTTAAATCTTTAGAGATCAAAGGTCCTGCTAGAGGATAAAGCATACCAAACCCATAGAGAAACGTTAGTTTTGGCAAGAGGAGCAAAGAGAAGTGGAAAGAAAGGAAGCAAACAAATCCAGAGAGGAAATCCTACTTTGACTCTCTTCACAGAAGTTTCATTTGAAAACAACAAACAATCAGCCAGCAGTCTTTTTATATCACTGAAAAAATAATTTTAAGGAAAACATTTAAAATGAGGGTCCTCTGCAGGGTACCATTTTCAACATAGGAAATTCTGAGGTTAAAAATTTTTGTGGAATTTTTAATCTCTTTGGAAATTAATCAGAAGGCCTCCCAGCTTCAGGGGTTGGTGGGATGGTTC